AACTAATAATTAATTCGAATTAATTGAAACTTTAAAGTCGTTATATTATGCTGCGCAATTGTGATTACTCGTGATAGAAATGTTTCGAAAGTAATAAACTAGGAGATCACGTATGAGATACTTAAGTCGACAAAGATTTTTGCGTTCGTCTTCTAATCGACTGTCGAAGTCTATTAATATTTCCTGTTTATTCGCACTACTTTACTAATAAACCGTAGCATAACGGACATAAATAAATCGAAGGAACAATGAAAATTGCGATTGCTAAGCATTTAAAAAAATTATTTAGAGATCAAGGGCATAATGGTCTACCTTTCCTATTGATGTAAACAACTTCGGCCCCTTTTAATGATACACAAATCGCAACGGTCGTTAAGATTAAAACAAACTAATTTGTGAAAAAGCCAATTAATTAATTTAAAAAACACAAAAAGTATAATTTTTACCAAACACTAAAACCTAATTAATTAAAATGGTATGTTTTGTTGGTGCAAATAGATTTTTTTTTATTAAGGTGTATTTATTTATATCTGGTTTTTAACATGAGCGATTCAGTTAATCCACACGAGTTAGTTTGTATCTAAGTCAACTTAAAAGACATTATATAGTCATTTATGTATTTTGCTCTTTATACAATTTTTTCTATTTATACTAACCCATTTTGAATTATGAGTATCCGCACTATATTAGTATAATATAATACTTAAACCTGGGCCTTCTCGAGAAATAAAGATTTTTTTTTTAAAATCCGTTAAATTTCAGTCGAATTTCGAGAGATTCCGAGGATTTCCAAAAAAATCCGAAGAATTATAAGTACAGAAGCAATTATGCTTAGCTCTGCGGTTTAGTGTGTTTTGGCCGTCTTAAAGGAAAAGCATGTGTAAGTTTAGGGTTGTGGAATTGACAGGTCAAATTTTGTTGTGTCAATTGACTGGTCAATGGACCGAAATAATTTTAAAAGTACCATGAAATATATATTAATTTATATGGTGCATTACGTCGCCGTCGCGTCATTCTGGGAACCAAATGGAGTCGATATCATTATTGGGATTTCCGGAATCGTATTCAGATATTCCTTGAAGAGGGTTATTGGTTCATAGATATAAGAAAGTGACCAATTGCTTTTGAATGGGATTAGGGTGGTCATTAACATACAATGCAACAAGATTATTACCTAATGTTTCGGAATTTAAATTCAGGTAAAATTGTGGTTCGTAATAGATTATTTATTATATATTATTATACCTACCTGTGTTTAATATTCTTATTTCGTGTGTAATACAGCGTGTGTTGAATCGTGTGTGAATTATGCAAAATATGTGCGAGTCTAGTGTATCGCAGGAGATGCTCTCGCCCAAATTTAGAAAATACTATTCTATTGAGGCTAAGGAAGTTATAAACAATGTTTATTTGACTCTCACGGCCACATTAACGAAAACTCCAACATCAACTCTATGAAAAATTGTGAATAATCCCATTTCAGCGAGGAAAAAAAAGAAGCGAGTGTAGATGAAAGTGATCAAGATATAATACGGCGTAAAATTTACCAGTTGTACGAGGAACAAAGCGTGCCTACATTAGATATCTTAATAAGGATGTTTGAAAAAGATGAAACCAGTGTTAAATGTGGCAGAACTACCTTATGGAAGTGTATTCAACACATGGGTTTTAGATTTAAAAATATCGACAAAAGGTAAGTTTTAATGGGATCTTTTAGAATTCGGAAATGGCTACTGGAATATCTAGAAAAAGTTAGGATTTACAGAGAACAACAAAGGCCAATTATTTACTTGGATGAAACCTGGTTCGACACTTATGATACTCCGGAAAAGGGTTGGGTTCACTCAACTGATAAGTGTAAAACAAACGCGCCATCAAAAACAGGTAAAAGAATAACTATTTTGCATGCTGTCTCTAAAGATGGTTGGATTCCAAATGGACTTTCTCTGTTTGCGAAAAATATTAAAGATTCTTTTTTGGATTACCATGAAGACACCACCCCCGATTTATTTGAAAGTTGGTTTAAAAACAAACTTGTTCCAAACATTCTTCCTAATAGCGTAATTGTAATGGACAATGCAAGTTATCACAGTAGACAGTTGACTAAAACCCTTTCCTGTGACACAAAAGCAACAATGCAAAACTACTTGTATAATAACGACATTTATTTTTACGAAGATTAGACCAAAAAACAATTGAGGTTCTACAATCTTGAACCTACAAAAGGAATACGTCTGTCTGTTTTAAGACCCACCACTGTGTATTTAATCCCATTGAACATGTTTGGCACCAACTGAAATCTGCCATTCGTCGTAACAATGTTTTTCTCGTGTTAACTCCAATGTCCTCAAACTTATAGAAACCGAAGTTTTTAACATCTATTGGGCAAATTATGTTAAACATATAGAAAAAAGCAGAACAATCGTATATCCATATTGCAAATAATATAGAACAAATAATAATTAGAACAGGCGATGATAGCGATAGTGATATTGATATATTGTGTGAATGATTTTAAGTAATTTAAGTAGGTAATAAAAATAATTTGTAATTTTATTTTAGATTTAAACATAAATACATAAATAAATAAATAAATATTGTTTAGTATCTTTCCTAACAAAACCCCAAATAATTAAATTCTAAGCAAAATACGGACCTGTTCGGCCATATTTCATTCTTACAGCTTGCCCGGGTATTTCCTTAATTCATATCCGTTAGTCACTTTCTTATATCTATGAACAGACTTTAACTAATAATTACATATAAATAATAAATACACACAATTGCACGATATCGTTTAAAACATTTTTTGACTCATCAATTAAAAAGTGCTCAATTGAGAAGTCCCAACACTAGGTGTATTTAAATCGAGTTTTTTAAAATATTTTTTAGTTCATTAAATGTTTTTTTTATATTGGAGAGCCTGTGCCATTGATACATCGATTTAGTGCTCATGATAATAATAAGATGATAACTCTGGGACTTAGTCGGTTGGAGAGCTAAAAATGCCTCTCCACCCCGCGGATTGTTCGCTGATCTTGAACATCGCAAGGGACTAGATTGGGAATGATTGAAGCCGAAGGGCATTATAATAATATATCGTCCGAACACCATTTAAACCTAAAATGTTACGATTTTCCTCGACGCAGATGGCCACTCGTTGATAAAACTCGATTTAGTAAAATATAAATAATAAAAGATGAGGGGTTACCGATAGATTCGCGAAAGCGCCAAAATTGTTACGTAACGTAAATCACAATGGATTATTTCCAACCTGCTTGTTCGTGCGCGACTCGCCGCCGACTGCGGTATGGCAGTGTCAATGTTGCAGCAACGATACACGCGTATAAATAAATGTATCGAGGTCATTCGTTTATAAACACGGAGCGAGACAAATTCGAACTATCATACTCGCGCAACTAATGCGTGGAATACTAAGCACCCTACAAGTCGAATCAATTAAAGTAGGGAAAAACGGAAGAACCGTTTTCCCTCACCTATCCACGTGTTTGTCCTCCAAAGTAAACGTTCAAACTGGGCGCGTCAGTTTATCGCTACAACTTTTTAAAATTTTATGTAACTTAAACATTAAACTTTTAAAAGGATAATCATGCATTTTTGTTTATATGTTTAAAACGCTAAAAGAGATTAAATTCAAACTATGTCAAAATATACAGTGAGTTTTAAGAAAAAAAAATTATATCATCTGCTATTTTTGATTTATATGGTATTAACAATGATTTTCCTCAATTTAATTGAAACTGTGTTACTTATTTTGTTGGTTGTTGGGTAGAGGCATAGAAACAACTTTTTTTAGTGCAAATTATTTTTCTACTTTCGTGAGTGGAAAAAATGATAGGCCATTGCGTGTTTCAATAATAAATTACATTTTTAAAATCAAGATTCATCTCTTAATAAAAATAAACTCTTGACTTTTTGTCGCCCGGCTAAGGGCTCCCAACGATAAAAATTAAAAGCATTGATGTGCATATCGCTAGATGCTTATAATAAAAAGAGGCAGCAAGCAATTCTATTAATATATCATGTTTTAACCAAAAAATATCTGGAGTGGGCTGAAAACTAACCAAACTAACAATTTTTGTTCACTCTGCCAAAAAGATCAAAGTACGATTCTTTATGTGATAGGCCATTTCTTGTTTCAATAATAAATTGCATTTTTAAAAACTCTTGACTTTTTGTCGTCCGGCTAAGGGTTCCCAACGAAAAATATTAAAAGCATTGATGTTCATATCGTTAGATGCTTATAATAAAAAGAGTCAACAAGCAATTCTACCAATATATCATGTTTTAACCAAAAAATATCTCAAATGGGCTGAAAACTAACCAAAACCAACAATTTTTGTTCACTCTGCCAAAAATATCAAAGTACGATTCTTGATGTGTTAAATTCTAATGACTTAATTTTTTCACTGGATACTCTTCGTCTGACAACACAAAGTCAGAGATTATTTTTACTAAGAAATGAATTGCGACTTTAAAAATGTGTAAAAGCACTCACGTACGTACCATCCGCAAACTCTTCAACTTATATACATATACAGAGTCTCTACTTTTATCTGCTTACAAATGCAAAAATTTTGTTTTTAAACATTATTGTTCGTTTTATTTTATTTGATATTGTTTAACAATGATACAAGCCAATATAAAAATAAATGTGGACTTCCATCTTTTTTTATTTGGCAATCAGCTTTTCAGACAATTGACAATTTATTTTTCTTTTGGTTGAATTTTAGCTTAATTGCTAGTTAGTTGCCCATAATTATAAGAAATTTGAAAACTAATCTCGCGGACGTAAGAAAAAAAAATGATTTGGTTATTGTTTAAATTTAATTTTTTGTCCAAGCAAATGTTTCGGTAATAGCTAATAGCGCTGGCACCATTTGACGAATGGATGTCTCGTAAATTCTTAAACGAATAACAAATTTGCTATTCTTCTATTTTTGGGGTAATTTTTCATTTTATTTATTTTGTTATTTCAGATGACCAAACTAAACATTCTGCCAGTCTGGGGCTGGCCTAACTACTGTTTTGGATAAATATCATAAGGTAAGTATGACATCGACTATAGTAACCAGGGCGTCACCGTTTTTTTGCAAATGACGACAAATTGGTGGATGCATCGAGCAATTGAAATTTTCTTTTTAATATTTCGATATTTTAGTTTGAGACTTTATACAGCACTTCGACTATTAAGCTCACTTTTAATAAGAGCAATAATATTGTTTATATTATTAATATTTATATTATTATGTTATTATTTAATGTTATTTAATTTATTTAATTAAATGTTATTTAATTATTAATAATGAGTATGGTCGTCAATAATGTTAATATTAAATTAATATTAAGCATATTTTTACTGCAGTAATATTGGCTTCCTTTTTGAATTCTTGGGTTCCATTCTATACGAGCCGCTTAGGATGTTTTGATTAGTTATATTAGTATATTAGTAGAAGATGGAAGGTTTTTTATTTAGTTTTTGTTTCAGATTGTCAATATTTATTTGTTTTTTTGTTTGTTTATGTACTTTATGTACAACTCAAATAACGAAAATTAATTCAGTGTTTTTTGTAAAGATTTGTACTGAAAGACTTCCAGTTTCCGGCTTTGGTGCAAATGAGATCTAGATTACAATGTTTTGCTACTTTTTGTATGTAGCAATTTTTAACGCATTTTGTCTACTTTCGATTATATGATGAGGACAAATTTTGAAGTTTACTTACATAATTCTATGCTTTTTGATTTCAACTAGTGTTTAATTTATTTTATTTGATGTACCTGTTTTAGGTGACAGCTTATAGGCAGGTGTTTGCCTGCAGAGCATGGATGTTACGTTTACCAACGTATTGGAGGGGGCGCGACAGTATTTCCAGGGTCTGCCGTCAGCCAGTTCTGTCGATGGTACCTTTTATCAACACCAGAATGCACCATATCAAAACACAGAACAGAATGGATGCTCGGCAGTCCCCTCTGCATCTCAACCATCTTGGTCTCAGTGCGAACCGAACAGGTAACATACACGAATTGAGTGAAATTTGAAAAGTAATTCTTGATATATAGGCCACCTACTAGGGAACAAACACCGCTCCAGAGGCCATCATCACATAGTTCGGACGGTTCGAGGCCTCCGTCTCAATCGCTACAGTATCAAGATATCTCAAGGCAATATACTAACTCTTACCCAAAAGAGTCATTGCCTCAAACGCAACATCAGGGTTTTACATTCTCCCGTCCACAGTCAAGGGAAGCTCCCTCCAATCAGTATCAGTCGCATAGCGTCACCAACTCTCCCTATATTCAACCTGCGACGACCCAACTGGGCCGGACTCCATCTAAAGAACAGGTAGCACAGCCGACTCAGAATTATCAACATCACCAATCTCCGAGATATCAAGGGCATATGCCCCATGAAAATTATCAACAAATTTCGTACTATCCGTCGGCACAATCTCAACACAGAGGCGGCAACAACTTTAAAACCCCACCCACTCAGTCGTATCCGGTAACTTCGCAAAACGTGTATCCGACGCAAAATACTTATACACCGCAAATGCAGAATACTTTATCTCATCAAAGAAATTACGCTACGCAGAGTTCTAATTCCGTTTTGGTGTCCGCGGGCGCAAATAACTTTGTCACGGGGCAGTCACATCAGAGTATTGGACAGAACGATTCGGCCCAATCTTCCTTTCGAAATACTCACAATTTACCACCGATTGCATCTTTGTCTAATTATCATTCCAATAGAAATTCCAAAGAAGTATCGGGGAATATTGCCAGCAATGCTTCAATATCAAGGTCGTCTTTGCAAGCGAGTTCTCACGCAGTGAGTATGAATCAACATGTGATACAACAGAGCCAGGCTAAGTCAGAAAATTACCCTAGAACTAGTTCGATGTATAATGTAGAACCTCGGAACAACAATCCTAAAAGTCAATCGCAATCGCAAAGTTATTCGTACGTCAACACTTTCAACAATGCAGCTGGGACTTCATCGAATACAACGTCATACTATTCTGGAACAAAACAATCATCTCAAATGTGCTATCAGCATTTCAATCAGTCGAACCCAGAAGCCCAGTTAAACGAAACGGCGAATCGACCGACGCAAGTAATTAACAACGGCGCATCTCACGACACGAGGTCGGTCGGTGTGATAAAGCAAAAACGAGAAAGTCCGCTGGATCTGTCGGTGAAAACCGTTCGTACCTCTGCCGATTCAACGTTAGAGGAATATGATGTAAATAATAAAGTCGTTCTTAACAGGTCTATTCCGAATTCGCATTCAAACACAAGCGTTTCCAGTCACAGCTACCCAACTCTTGATATAAGTTCATTTCAAAGGAATCTTTCTCATAGTTCTCAAATATCAGCTGCATCAGCACCAAAAGTGGATTTCCATCCTAACTTTAATATTCCTACTATGGGACACGCGAATCGCATGTTAGGAAAGCAACCTGATGATTCCAGGACGCCTCCGCAAGAAACATCAAACAGTATTAAATTAGACGGTAGCTACAATTCGTATCCTGGAGTTTTTCAAAATGTATCGAATGTGCCAGTATCCTCTACAGCTTCGTATTCTCACAATCACACAGCTGTGAAAAATGTCGTACGAACGGATTACTCGGCGTCCGAGCAACAGAAAGACAGCCAACGATATGCTTACCAGAGTTCCGAAATTACAAAGAAACGGACAGCCGATATTACATCGAACATAGTTCCAAACAAATTAGCCAAAGTCGACAATTGGAGGCAGTCTATAGATCTTCAGATTGAACAGAAACTTTCCTCTTATAAACAGCAGCAACAAAAACAACTCCAGATGGAACAACAAAGTGTTAATCCCATGAACAAACCTCCCACCAATTCGAACGAAAGTTTCAGTGCATCTTCCAATGGAAATTATAATAGAAATTATAGTTTTCAGAAGGATTGCAAATTCTCAACGTTTCAAACAAATTACAATCCATCCCACAGTTATCATACGCAATCTAGTCTGAGACAAACCTATGTACCTTCACCAGTCGCGCACCAATATCCAGATTACCATAACTCAAACATTAGGCATTCTCAAAATGCCTATACGAATCCAGCTTCGCAGACCAATACATCCTCAAACGCTTCTGGCTTAAACAAGCAGAATATTGGGGGGGCGGTGGACAAAAGAGTTCTTAGTTTGTTGCGTACCAGTATAGAAGTTAAAGAACAAAAGAAGATGGAGCAACTGAAATCGTGCGAAAATTTACCTTTGCACCCTAGACCCGATATTCAGCATCCCAATACAGATGTTACCGCACCGTTGCAACCCAAATTAGGTGTTATTGGTAGAAACAATACGTCGCCATTTACTCCCACCAGTTTTCCAGAAAATAACATGGCATCTACTTACAAGTTTCCCAAAGCCACCGAATCTGTAAGCTGTGATTCTTACATTAAACAAACGGAAACTGAGATCATTAAACAAGCTGAGACTAACTCTATGATAAGCACTGGTGCAAATAGCGATTACGATGGTTTGGCTGCACGGATTCGGACTAAAGGGGAACTGAAGCAAGGCGGTCCGATGAATACCAACGGAATAACATCTAAAACTTCTATAATTCAGACTTTTATTAATGAACAAATAAAGTCTCCTACACTAACGACCCAGAATATTGGGAGTCCACCCAAGTTATTGAAGGAAAAGCTTGGGCAGTTTGCTCCGAGAAAAAGATTATTTAGTCGTAACGAAGAAGAGTCGGGAAATAATCTTCCTGCTAGGGATAAGTCAGGATTACGCAGCTCATCGGAAACTTCAGTGTTTGATTTTCCGGACTCAGACGACGACAACGAAATGCCTGTGTTAGAGCGACAATCTTTGGAGTCAATGAGGAGGGACAGAAAATCGTCATTTAAATCGACTCCAGCCCCTCTATTTAATGCCGAAGCCAAGGATCTCAGATCTGAATCGCCTAGACCAGCTACGCCAGATGATATTTTCGATAGTCTGTGTAATAGCTTTGTTGATGAATTAAAAAATGGAACTACAAAGAAGCAAATAAAAGACGATAACGCGGAGAGCATAGCTGTATTACAATTATGTCCGCCGGAAAATGTAGCTCGTAGCGAGAAAAATGTTGGGGAGAAAGTAGAGTTATCAGATAACTGTGAGTCAAGCAGTAAGATAGCTGAGTCTAAAACCTCTACCCCCACACTTAAACAGGATGAAGCGGAGACAGAGAGTGAAATTAAAAGAGATGAGCGAAGTGCGTTTAGAAATAAGAACAGAGTAAGACGTAAATTAGTTTCATCCAGTGAAAGTAGTGATGATGATGATGAGGACATCCCTGTCGTAGATAATGGACGTTCTAATGCACCTATAGAACAAGAAGCTGATGCAATTGCTACGGAAGCTAGTCAAGGGAAGGAAGTGATCGATGTCGACGCAAAAATGTCTCAAAAAAGTGAACAACTTTCCGTTGTAAGGCCCGCTCGAAAACCTTTATTTGGAACCGGTTCTGAATTTGGGCCAGGTTGGGAAGAAGAAGTGTATAGGTATAAGAAATCTTTACGTATGCCCGCTAGTCTGATTCAAGTGACGCGTCCTCCAGCATCTATGCGTTTATCGACGTCATTACCAGATTTGGATCCATGTCCTCAGTCCCCCACATCATCTGTGACGACTGATATAGAAAATAAAGAAACGAATAAAAAGACAATGCAGAAGGTTAAGTCGGAGCCACTCGATAGTGATAGTGAATCCATGAGTAATTTTAATATTTTCAGTAAAAAAACAAATTATGATTCGGAGGGATCGTGTTCAGTAAAAAGTCTACCTAATACCAGAAAGGAGAATATGTCCATTCTGGACAAGCTGCTTGAGAAGTGTGGCGGTCGAAAGAAAAGGAAACAAAAAAGTAAAGACGACCATGGTCTAAAGCTTATTCCCAAAGCCGAAAATCCCATCGAACTTTTGCCGACTCCGGGCCTCGAATTACCGAAAGAAAAATGCTCCGAAAATGCGAAAAACAAAAGTCCGGTAAAAACCGAAAAATCAGAATTACTGCCATTTAGAAAAGATACTGTTCAAAATTTTAAAGACGCTTTTATAAAAAGTAATAACAATGTAATTCACGACAAATTTACAACTGTTGTTTTGACATCTAGAACGAGGAAAGGAACCAGGGCGTTAAAGCAAAGAGCCACCATTAAAGAAGTGTTTGGCGAAGACAGGCCAGCTTCCGCACCACCGGTGACCTGTATTGACAATGTCAAAGTTAAAGAAGAACTCGAAGATGTCAAAATGTTTTCTGTCAATCTGGAACAGTTAGTGGCTGTTAAGGAGGTCACTAAAAACTTGACCACGAAACACAGGAAACAACCTGCATCCGAAACAAAAATTAAAGAAGAAATTGTAGATGAGGATCTAGAAGAGGAAAAATTTGGAAATTTGATAATCAAAAATGATCCAGACGCGAAGTACGAATCTGTATCGCTAGACGGTGATGATTCTAATTTAACGACGAGGAGAAAAAATAAATTTGGCAAATTGAGGCGAAAATTGAGTTCAGGGTTCGATTACATAAGGAAAAAGAAAAAAACTAAAAAGGAGAACGTTGAGAATGAAGTCACGGAAAGAAAGAAAAAAGTTACCGCTAAAACGCCCGAATCAGTGGACGATATTCAGAGAGAAATCAAATCTTGGGTTTTGAATAAAGGAATTGGTGAATCTCATTTGCATAGAGCCGCAAGACTGGGATATACGGTAAGTAGCAATATGCAGGTGTTATTAAAGTGTTTATGATCGTTACTTATTTCGCAGGATATCACGGCATATTGTTTAGAAAAAATGGACTCTCATCCGTCGCCAAAAGATAATGCTGGATACACTCCACTTCACGAAGCATGTGCGAGAGGTCACCTTCACATAGCGAAACTGCTTCTTATGTATGGTGGGAATGTTCACGAATCAGCTCAGGGTGGGATCAGGTATACATTTAAATTAGTTTTAACATTCCGTTTAATTATTTTTGTCAAACTTTAGAGCACTGCACGAAGCTGTTGAAAATGGGTTTGTTGAAGTAGTAAGACTGTTGTTATCTTATGGTGCGGACCCAGCATTGGCAACTTATTCTGGAATAACACCATTGAGTTTAGCCAATGATGAAAATACCAGAAATCTCTTAAAAGATCACCTGCTGGATTTACAAGGCGAAAAAGGTCCTCCTTGGCAGTTTCATGGACCAGCTTCTTGTTTTGGTAAACATCTACTTTTTTGTATCTATGTTTAAACATTTTTCTTTGTTATGAGAAATAATGAGAATGGGAATATATGATTTTGGTATTTTAGATCCTGTAGAAGACCTCGGATACAATGTACTGGACGACAGTCCAAAAAGTGATTCAGAACAGGAGTTTGAAGATATTGAATTTGAAGTATCTGAAACTCTTTTACCAAATCTTTACACACTTCGTGGTGAGCCATCGTCAGAGAGGTGGATCCTGCTTCAAGATCTGTCCAACCTTCTTAAAGTAAAATCTCGTGACGCATTGTTAAGGCAAATCGCGCCGCCTTCTAGTTCGGGTTCCCAACAAAGTGTTAAGAGTCTGCTTAGAGAACTCAAAATGACAGACTTTTTAGAGCAGGCGCATTGTTGCCAATTTTTAAATCAAGGTGAAAAAATCAACACGAGAGCGTCAAAAATAGCTTTAGTAAAGTATACCGATAGAGTGAAGGAACTTTTAGGTATTGAATCAACAATAGTGAGTAGGTGACAAAAAATTAAAAACTCTCTTTAAATGACATTACATATTAATGTAAATAAATATAACTGCAATTGAAATTTGTTGATTAATTTATAAAAAAACGTTGTGATTTTTTAACGCAATTAATATTGGTGCAAGAACGAAGATCGGTAAAGTTATCTTTTGTTATTTATGTTTATTAACTAAGTTACCAAAAATCATTAAGAAATTTCAAAATTTTTGTATTCTTCCGTTTTAATTTGTCTTTTTTACAAGTGTAACTGAACAAACCTGAATAGTGTAGGTTCATATGTAAAAAACTTGACAAGTTATTCAAAGTGATTTGTTGTGCAATTTTTGTTTTCAGTATTTTGGTTGAGATGATTAGTGCGATAAAAATTTGCATTCTACATATTTCTTTAAAATTATGCTGTCACACTACTTAATGATACTCTTGATTTGGTATGTACATTATAATTTTTATCAAATGCTCAGGGACCTTAATATATATATAACGAAGATTTTATTTTTATTTCTAACGTGAATTATCTACATGTATTTTAATAAACTCTGTACATAATTTAGTGTAATTTTATAGTCTGGAAAGTTTCATTTTTGTATGAAAATATGTGACTATACATGCTTGACTTACGTATATTTTAGAAACATCTCAACTGCTGAATAAATTTTGCTGAATATCAAATTATCAAAAAGGCCTATTTGAACAATTTGTTTACAGAATAAGTTGTATTTCTTCAGCTTGATTTAATATTTTATTAAGTTCAAGGGGGAAATAGGATTTTTTCTCATCAGATTATATACGTGATTTCCCCATTAAGAGTTACACAATAACGCAAGAAGTACAACTCGGCGGAGCTAAAACGAACATAATCAAAAAGGCTATTTTTTAAAAGATTATTGGATCTCGCATTTAATTTTTTGAGGGAAACTGGATATTTTGTGAAAGGACTAATCTTAATAGCAATTCTGTATAAATGTATTTTCTTCTGTATGCTCTGTAATGGTTCTGTATAGGTAAAATTATCTGTGATTCGTTATATTTCATTTGATATCAAGGCAGAGTGCAATGCTTTTTTATAGTAAAATTGTGATTTTGCCAATTGTCCTATTAATGAATGTTTTAGAATAATGTATTTACTTTAATTTATGAAATAATTTTCCACATTTTTATTTCTTTTGTTTATATGAAATATGTGAAATAATAATTCCAAACAAATACCTACAAGCGCGTTTTCTTACCCTTGCCAGGTGCCGTCTATAAATATTGACACTAGCATTTCAAACTTTCATTATTTTACTGAACATTTTCGCGATGTTTTGGTCAGTCGTATCACTCACCTTAGCAAATTCTGCACTTCACGATACTGGTATAAATATATAACTACGAGACGATTTCTTTAACTGCAGATGCGCTGATGACAAACCTAAGAGATGGAAGAAGAAATAGACCATATTTCATATTTTCTTTTTCCTTTTTAAAGCTGACAAAATTATTCACATTGCCAGCAACACCATTCTCTAATGTAAACAAATTCGCACTTTTTAATCATATGGTATTATGGCGCAATAAAAATTGAGAACTACGCGTAGCATAACTACAAATATTTACTATTTTTGTCAAGGTCATAAAAATACCAATACCTCTTTGATGTAGTGGATGGTTAAATTAAAACTAAAAACACAAATGAAAGAATAATATAATTATAGAACTTTATTTAAAGCAAGTATTTACATTGATAAAATTCAATAATTATATTTAATTTTAAAATGACAATTGAAAGGCTTATTTCAAATTATTTTTAAATGAAACAGTCTGTTTTATCGGAGAGTTTTCATTAAAACAAATTAATTCATATTACAATACTTTTTAATTGCATACTCAATGAACCGAATGATCAGCCCCATAAGACAGGAGGTTAAAAATACTTGGTTAAGATAATATATCCTTGCGCAAGTGATTTTAACTAATTTTTTTTACAAAACGAATGCATTACGTCCAAAGTAAACCCTAATTTTCGTCACCAAACCATTAAAAAAACGCACTACCGGGTTCGGAATTATTAATCGAAAGTTTATAGTAGCGCATCACAAATAATTATGCAACATTATATAATTTCACTCATCATCGGGATATACTCCTTTCATGATGAATATCTTCTGATCCATCTAAATCGCCCAATCTCTGATTTGGCAAAATCTTATCAAAGAATGGGTGCCTTAATGCATCTTTGAGCGTTATTCGGTCAGTTGGCTCATAATCTAACATTTTAAAGATTAAATCGAATAAGTAGTTGTGCTCCGTATCATCTGACTGCTTGTATCTCTGAAAATTAAGGGAAACATTAATTACAGAATTTGAGTTACATCAGATGCATAGAGGGTAAACTAAATATACCGTACATACCAGCAAGGGTTTACAGTTATCGCGTACGTATCTCCCTGCAGAACTTTTTTCATCCCAGTCAAGTTTGCCTCGATAGAAATACTTTGTTTTGGTCTTCCTCGCCATTCTGTAAAGCAAAAAGGATTTGGCAACACATAATTCACGGGACCGATCTGCATACCTTGCCGGTATTTCTCCTAAAATTCGCTGCATCATTGCCAAATGCTCCCGGTTATCATGGGTTTGAAACAAAGTAATACCTAGATACAATTCAAACAATATACAACCCACTGACCATACGTCGCACGGTTGAGACCACCCCAGTTCTGCAAAAAAAACATAAAAAGTAAGAATAAAACAAAATCGAGTAAATAAATGCGTGAAACACACCTATATATCGCTGATAACATGAAACAACCTACAAGAGACCCCATAGAAAATATATATTCTTTCCACTCTTTATAACTGCCGCCAATTTTCTTTTTTATTTTTATTATTAATTCTCATCTTAAATGGTTGTAAAGAATGTTTTCTTTTCCAATGCAAAAATAGTAAGGAAAAACTGTCGAGTTCATCTAGTGTGAAGATTTAATGAAGCCATATTAAAAAAAAAAAAAAATACAAAACCGAATTTCGACACACGCATACTATACACTCACCCAAAATCACTTCGGGCGCACGATAGTGTCGAGTGGATACGATTGTGCTGTGATGTTCGTGATCAAAGGTGGCACTGCCAAAATCAATTAATCTAACATCAGTTCTCTTAACTCGCTTCACATCGCGTCTCTGCGGGGAAGGTACCAAAAAATCCAAATTATAACAAAAAAATTATCGCCGATTTACCATTTTACCTTTTTGGAATTGTATACTAATTCATAATCCGAATCTACAAAAAGAATGTTCTCAGGTTTGAGATCAGTGTGCGTCAGCTTATTCTCATGGAGAAATTTTACCGAGTAACATAGCTGGTAACCAATGTGCCTCACTTGCTCTAGTGAGTAAGGTTGATAATTGTTGTCTTTCTACAAAAACAATTTGATGCAAAAAAAGCCCAAGCAAGTCAGAGAATTTGGAAAACCTTCACTGGCTGAATAAACTGTATTATTTTCAAGGAGTGATATTGAAGCAAGTGCAATTTCAAGTAATCATAAAGTAAAAAGTACAGTAATGAATGATGCAAATATGCTTGCAATACATCTACTTTCTTGTTCAAGATTAGAATATTTCATTTAAAAAGACACTTGCTGTGGATGGTTGGTGAAATGTCATAGCAAATTAATTCTTTAAATATTGCAAAATGTTTGATCCAAATACAGTCTGTCACCTAGAGAATGTTGTTGTTAATTACGCCATTAATTGGAATGGACTATTTGACAAAAATTAATTGGCGAAATAATTAAGTCTTACAATAAATACTGAGACACCAAATATTTACCAAAAAATCAAAGACACTAAGACCCAGCATTTCGAAGGCAATACACATGTGCCCGTGATAATCAAACCAGTCCAACATTTTCACACACAAGCTGCAATAATTATTTTAATATTATTATCATTAGTATTCATTATTCCACAATATCAAACTTACTGAACACATTCCGGATCCTTTTCCGCTAACTTTTCCAAAACGTTGATTTCTAATTTAGCGGCTTCTCTATACTTCTCTACATTCTTGATTATTTTTAAAGCCATGGAATGGTCCCTAAAATTAATTATTATTTATAATGGATTGAGTTAAATTGCAGGCGTATTTGGGTATATGTTAATGGTAATGTTAATATAAGAACATTATTGTAAAGGTGATAAATGTAAGTTACTAAAAGTAAATTGTCCGGTGTATGAAAAAAAATATAGTTAAATTTTGTTACAAATTTATTTAAAAAATGAATAGCAATATAAAATACCGAGCTGAAGAAAATTTCCATGTTTAATAAGCGTGTTGCACTATCGTCATCCAAGGTTGCTTTGTTATGAAATGAAAGGGTGGCAAAAACAGAAATGCCATGCTAACTTGGATTTGAAAACGTTGCATTTTTAGACCTCTGTAATTCGGTTATGCGTTAACTTGTCATAGCCAATTTTCTTCTGAAATTCACAAATTTTGTTTTTTAATGGAGCACCCTGTATGTATTTTATTCGCCTTATTTCAAAAATATGTAACACTTAAGATATTTGGCATGGAAGAAAGGTCTGCATTATCTTAATATACTTTAGCTGCCAATTATTTTAATACCTCCTTTTGCTATGACTCATGTTGACCCAAAATATGACAATCATAAGAAATTGGATATTACGGATATAAATGTGTTTTTATTTTTTATTATTAGATAAAATTAAAGATAGCCGCTTTGTATCTGAAATAGCTCTTACGTGTTATGAAGAGCTAATAACAAGCCTAACAAAGTTATTAAAAGGCATACAGGATGTATTAAGAAAACAAGTTTACTTTATGCATCAAAATTTCCCAAGAGTTTTTACCTTTTCGATAAATGAACACATAACCGAGCTACAAAGGTCGTTCAAAACTTTAAAATTTCCAAAATCACAAGTTATCTAAAAATGCAAGACAGCTATGACTTTTCTATTTGCGCCACATTTACTTTTACGAAAACATAATCTTGGGCCACGAAAGCCGCAAAATTCAAAATGGTGGTCGGTTATGTTTGTCATTTTATTTTATTATTTGAAGATGCAAAATTGTCACTACCGAAACAACAATAATTGACTGGTCTACTTAGTATTTATAAATAGTTCGCGAATTTGATGCAAAGTTTATCTAACAAAAATTATTGTTAGATGTGAACTTACATTTCCAAGTCCTTCACTTTGACTACTTTGCCAAAAGTCCCCTCGCCGAGCGTGCCAAGTATTTTATCTGTAACGCAACATCAAAAATAGTTAAAAACTGGTTAAAATCGGGACGATATGCAGCGCTTGAGGATCGCTAGTTTATTAAGCCAAAATACTTTTTATCCTTATTATACTTCTAATGTAAGGTACTTCAGTCACGATGAAAATGTGTAAAATTGGCATTGAATAAATTGGCGGGCAGACATGAATCACGATAATAAACACTCCGAGGATACTATTTTTCATTTCTATTTTGATTTGATTAAATTGACCGTAACCCAATTGTAACACTTCATTGGAATTTGCATCACATAATAAAAACAGTCTACTACTACCAATATTAAAAGTATACGTTGACAAATAAAAAAAAAAAATAAAGACCCTTAGAAGATTACCAAATTTTAAACAAAACATTTTCAATTTCCTGCACTGCTGCATACCTCCCAATCTATCGACAGTTCTCTCGAGCATGCAAAGATAAATAAAACTACTGGAATAAACGATAGTGTTCCGCAGAAATAATTTTAACAAACTAATTTAGTTTGATAGAGACTTGCGTTGTGAACAAAATTTTGCTGAAAAGAAGGAGTTACAACATTATCATCGCAGCTTTATGAACCTGAACGATCCTATTTGTGAAATGGAACGATCGGAAAATAATACTTTAAATATTAAGTTATATCAAAGCGGTATTCACACACATCGATCTTGCAAGATGTCTCCTGATCTGTAAACAAGGTGGCCTTCTTGATCATCTTCCACTGAGGGCGCTTTACAGCTCTGTTTGTTTGCATAACATCATCATCGTCATCATCCAATGCAAGTGTCCAGTCATCAATCCGGTCAGCACGATTAGATGGGCCGGCAGTCGGGTGTCCACATTGTCAAGCACAGTCCCGTGACACGTAGAAGTGGGTTGATCGGTAGTGTGGTTTCGTGTGGTAGATGGCATTGATAGCATTTCGGTTCGGTCATCATTGTAGCAACACCGCATGCAAGTGGTCGATTGTGGCCCGACAAGCAAAGACAAAGGGAAGGCAAAATGTATTGCCAAATCAAAAACCGTTTTCCTCAAAATTTCACACATAATAGTAGCAATATCATATAAACATGAATATGGCACCGAATCAACTACGTCATACGAATACGATGAAACTTAAAACAAATCTCACGATAAGGCTAAAATACAACTACTGGGAGTTGATGGTGGAAAGAGTCGTGTTCAGAGTTTTTCCTACCGACACGCCATTTCTGAAAACTGTTACCGTTGCCACAGGTACGATCGAAAGTATCTCTGTGCACTTGCGGATTTCGTTTATAAAGTATTGCTGTGTACTAAAACGGCAAATCTGTGCTACGCACTAAATAGTAACTACGTGAGCATCGTGAAAATTACGACACATCTACTAATATTGGATCAGATGGCCCCAAAGTCGATCAAGCCGGTTCCAAATTTAAAAATCACCGTATTATTTTTTACAATTTTTTTTTCGTTTCGCAGGATTTTACGATGACCACGTAGTCATTAATTCACTTTGATCTCGCTCGCGTTGATTTTTCAAAAAAATTGATTGAAGATTGAAAAATTTTGTTAAATAAGAGTAAATACTAGTTATAGGAAACGCGACTGACAAAATTAAAATAAAAAAAATCAAAGTGAATTATTAAGTTCGGCGTTAGTAATCAAGCAAAAGGTTTATTTTTATTAGTTCATGCAAAATGACATCTCACAGGCATAAAATATTCTGCTTCGTCTGTTTTAACCTGTTCATTACGTTATACGAAATATTGAACCATGGTTACTGCGCGAATCCCCCGAAACACTACCATAAAAGGAAGCAGCGTTCTTCATGTAAGCAATAAAGAAGTTTGCTAATACTTTCGCAAGAAATATTATTCAACAAACGTAAATTCCAAACAATCTGTTTGAATGAAAACAAAACAAAAAAGACAAAAATTTCGATTTCGCAAAATATAATGTGACCTGATCGAGCAAATAAGACTGGTCAACTTTTTAAATAAATAATTACATAACTGCGGTTCTCGAGCTAGGTGAGGTAAAACCAAATTTGATACGCATATGCACATATCGGTTTCGGTATAAGGTTCTGGCAATCACCCATTACCTACTTTCCTAAGACATTTTGAAACAAGGCAAAAACGAGAACCAAAACTTTCCTAAGACATTTTGAAACAAGGCAAAAACGAGAACCAAAACTTTTGTGCGTAATACCTACACACAACTCAATGCGACGCAACGTCCGAAGCTAAAGGATAAGGTTGTCGGGTTGGCGCACAAAGTTCAGTGATTTATCGGCCAGAAAAAAAAAGAAAATATTTTGTAAACAGTCAACACGTATCAACTGCCAAAGCGTTAGAGCGACTAGCGAATTCGCTCCACCAAATACGCGCCTATTTTTAATTTTGGCTTCTTGAGTAAATTTGTAGGTTACGGCGACCTGACACAAATGCTAAAAATATATGCGCAAAACAAGCGCGCACTCCAAAAACGTCGGGAAAAATATACGTCCTTAACAAACATTAACGGAGCATTTTATTATGATTCCGTTATTAATAGGGCAACATCCTACAACTGCTGGCGTTCCGCCATTTATTTCGACGGAGGCGATATTTACTTTGTACTCTTTTGATTAAATTTGAAAATACTTTAATCGCAATAAAAGGTAAGTGGTAAATCGATACAAACCCGCACCAAATCGCACTTATATTTTTAAAACGTTTTTATTGCATTAAAATCGCACCGATGAATTTTGTTTCTGTGATTTTATTTGTTTATTATGGAGGCTCAAATCAAAAAAAATCATTTTGAAATAAATTACGAGAATAAATTGGATGGTGATTTAAAAAAAAAGTGCATTTCCGAAAACTTTAGGAGCTTCTTTTGTTGAGATTAATACTACGAAAATGAAAAAAACAAATATACCTTTAGGTAGTTCGCAACATTATCATAGTAGCTTTAAAATAGGCGTGTTTGTAAAAACTGGAACAATTCACAACTTTGATGCGACAAAAGTGCGTTTTTTTTGAGACATCCTGCAAATTTGACAATATCAAATTAACTATATATTATATTTAAAAATTATATATACTATAACTCAACTGGTGGTTGTAGCGAATCCTAATTAATATCATTGAAAAGCATGATGAATATTTTGATGCTGTTTTTTCAATAAAAAAAATTAACACTAAAATATTTTCAAATAAGAGAATATGCAACGTCAAGAATTTTTTTTGTGCTTACCAAATAATCTTTTAATCTGATTTTATTAAATTTTCAGGAAAACGAGAGTAAAGAAAATGAAGCAAAATGCATTTTAATGTATAAAATTTTAGCCGTTGCGCGGAAGATCATCATTGCCTTCGGTGCGAAAATGTCATAGCCACCCCGGCTGCATTAATTTTAAGCTATTTACAGTCCTTTAATATTAAACAGCTATATGATTGCGTCCCATAAACTCACTATAGCATTAATACCATCTCACGTGCGTAAATAACGAATCTCTTTGCGAATCTCGTATGATATATCGTGCCCTACAATAAAATGTATTAATTTAAATGGAATTCTTTTATAGTAGTACCAATACTACATCTGCACCGGAAATTATTCATTAATATCGGAAAACGTGTACGTCTCGATATTAGCGCGTGCATTTCGTTTATCCACGCTCGCGGACAAGTGCGGCAAATAATATGCAAATGCGTTGCGATATATCGAAGTACGTATAGCGCTGTCACGTGTTCAGCAGGAGAATGCTGAAAGAAATGCGCGAAATAAGCGCGATTCGATTGTTCAGTTATTTTTCTCACCTTGTTTGTTAGTCAAAAAATGTTGAGATATAACAGAAAGAAATTGTTAACGGTAGATACACAATCGCCGATGAATATGCTTTATTACATGTGATAAAGCAATTATATTTTTAATAACGTACGACAATGTATTAAAAGGACCAATGAACCGATGGAAAGTATAGTGGTGTACGCTAGATATTTTTAAACTCAGTATACACTCCTATAACGCTGACACGGCATCTATTGTAAATTTCATATAATTGCTCTGTGGAACTTTGAGATGTTATAGCAACATTACATATTTACATATTTGTATTGTAGTTTGATAGTTCATAATTCATATGATTTCAAAATCTCTGATATTCCCAGGGACTTCCACTTTGCTTTTCACCGGCTCAAATATTACTATTAGAATTTAAGAAAACAATTATTTGTTACCAAAGAACACCTAACAAATGTTCTTGACGAGGAAAGGTTCTGCATCATTGTGTTATAAGATATGAGTACTATTTTAATATCCCAGCTATAAAAACATCGTTACTGCAAAAAGTGTTTTTTTATGAGAGGATCTAAATCTCAGCGTGCAAATTTAAAAAAAAAAAGGACACGATTCTTAGCATGTCTGGACAATTGTTTACACTGTTAAAATTATTTATTTATTATTTATTATTTATTTATATAGGTTGCTTTTTTGCCTCTGCGTCTAAAAATTTATATAATCTGTGGCGTCATTTGTCGCAGAAGAGCTTATATTTATTTATTTTTTATGCGAATGGTTCGAGAGTGGTTTTGTTTTTGCTAGAAGTTAGTTTAAGGTTTAAAGCCGTGCTTATTGTTAAGGTGAATCATTGCTGTATAGTATTAAAGTTACATTCAACCAGTCACGGCGGTGTATATATTTGCCAGGTACAATATAAATTTTTTAATTAAAAAATTATCCAGAAATATGTTTTATTCCAGCACTTTCTAAATTTCAGCTTTGGAAAAATTTATAATCTGTTTTACGGCAAAACCCAACTTCCATGTCCGGGTCGTTTCCAGAATTCCAGAAACTGAAATTGTAGACATTAGGTTCGTTCCAAGCTTCATTTTTGCACAATCTGGGAAAGAAAATTGAAACTCTGAAATTACCATAAATATGTACTAAATATGAGGCAAATTTGCATAATTTTACGATTACGAAAGAAATTAGCTTAGTTTGGTTTGGTCAGAACTACCACCAGAGAGCTCAGTTGGTTGAAAATCTGTGGAGGTCCGTCCAATAATAGCATACCAAATAAACTTTTGGTCACGTTGTTGATAAAACCATTCCTAAACCATGGAAATATTCGGACTGTCTTGATTATAATTTAAATATCCCGCTCACGGTTCATTTGGTAGCACTACACAAACATGAAGTTGAAAAATCGATGTGTTGATATCCTTCATTGTGTTTGAGAGGGAGGTTAGTTGTATTACGTTTTACTTGGTTTAGATGAATTTTGTACTATTTTAAGCTTAAACTTAAACCAAATATGCATTTCAATTTAAACTTTATTCCATTTTCATGGCACAGCAAAGGCAAACTTAAATATGTCCACTGTTTGTGTTATTTCAACGGCAGTTAAAGCATTTCAAAGAGTCTGTGATATTTTAAAGTCCAATATCAGTGTTGTAACACTATTTACGATATGTATATATAAAAAGAAATATTATAGCAAACACATTGCCAGACTCAATATTCTTGTTTGCGAGTGGTCTAACAAGGAACAACTAATAGACAAGAACTAGCGTTTATTATTAATATTGATAGCGACTCTAGTAATTCAGCGACTTAGAAAATATTTTTAAGTATTCGAATATTCATAATATTCAATTATTAATATTTAGAGGTTAGACGTTACTATTGTAGCAATGTAATTTTAATTTCTATACTCTGAGAATATTGTCGGTAATACAGATCCCGGTAATGTGTCGGTGGTCCGTGGGTGTGTCGTCGTTCGCCCGCTTTTATCGTGGTCATCCAATTACGACTCTATAATGTTTTTTTTGTAATGATTGACCAATGAGTAAATAAAATCGAGTTGTTTATAAATATCTATAAAATTAAGTAACAATGGTTTATATGTATACAATATAAAATACTTTGATTAAAGCAAAATATGTAGATGACAGCAACGTTGTGCCGGTCAAGCTTGGTCACTAGGTATTTTTGGTTTGAACTATAAACATTTTGCTTGAAAGGCGATTTGTCACAGGAGGTTGGAACGAACCTATTTTCGAACGTATAGTCCGCTGAAAACACCGACAATTCCGGAATACGCCGCGTGAACTACAGGTCCAGCGTTATAGCAACAATTTTCGGAACCAAATCGAGAATAATAAATGCAACTGTTAATTACAAGCTAATCCCGACTACGAATAATATCTTTTATAATCGGCGGTTATAATTAACGTAGATATTAATCGACGAACAAATAATAGCAAACGTAAACCGAAGAGACTTACACGACTTGCGACTTAGACAAAACGTTTAGCGCGGCAAACGGTGTTAAGGGAACTCCCGATCAAGCGTCTCACTCAGCTGTTAGTTTGGGTCCAGCCTCAATCATACTCTTTTTTTTTTTGGAATACTTTGTGGAAATCGCACACATAAGGCCGGCTCGCCGAACTTACAGCTACCGACGACGTCGACGTGTCCGAATAGTACTTCTTCGCGATGGCGGCGGCCACGCCGGTCAGGCCCGCGCAGTTTGGCACGGCGGCCGCGCTGCAAGTGGCCAACAAAGAGCTAGTTCGGTTGTAAGCCTCGTCCAAGGCCGAATATTTCATAATGAGACCTTGGATTTCCTTCCGTTTCGCGTCTCTCTCGGACACGGGATCGGGAACCAAAGGGGTGGGCGTAGCGTCCTCGTCGTCTGCCGGTGTATCTTTCGCATTTTTAGGCGCCTCCGCGGCCAGAGGAATTTCGACGGCGCTAAGTTTAAGATTCGTAACGGACTTGCGCTCGTTATATTCGCTCTTGCCGGCACGTCGCGGTTTCGAGTGCCGCCTCGGCCTAAGTTCCGAATAGTTCGTTCTGTATCTCGAAGGCTGCTCCCGGTTTAGTTCGGAATAATGAGTAGGCTCCAAGTAAGCGGTCGAGTGTTTCTTTTGTTCGGCGCGATAAGGCGTTTTTTCGCGGTACGGAGTGTTGTGCTTGCTCGACACGTACGGGTATTGTTTCTCGCTGAGCTGGAGCACGTTGGCCGTCGTGTTGCTTTTCGACAACGACCGACCGAGCAACGGCTCCAAAGACTTTTCGTTGTCGCGTTTCCGGCCGTATATCCGGTCCAGCACCGACGAATATTTATCCTCCAATCGGTTCCGCGTCGAGCCCAAGTTCGACGCCACCGCGGTACTGCTCCTGCTCGTCGTCAGCTGATTGACGGTAGGCGCGCTCGCGCCGGCGTTGGTCGTGTTGCCGCGCAGCGTTCTCTCTACGGTGGCCGACGGTCCGCGCACCCTCGTGGTGAGTTTCTGGAGTAAGCTCGAACACGAATCGCTCAATAGCTGCGCGACGCTAGCCGTCGATGAGCGCGAGTAGCGCTGTTGTCTGCGGTTCGTGCTATCCGCGCCACTCGCCATCGATGTCGCGTGCTGGCGACTTTTGGCGGTCGTCGAGCGACAGCCCGAATCTAGCCAGGTGTAATCCGGTAGTACTTTCGATGCCGTCGTCGTCGGATATCGCGTCGCCGCGTCGTCATAGTACCCGGGGTGGTACCGACTATAAGAAGAGAGCCCCGATCCGTACATGGGTAACGATTTTTCGCATAACTCCGTTCACTCGGTTCTACCACTACTGCCGCGACGTTCCGATCCGACCTACGCTGGCCAAACTAAAAATATAAAAACGCATGCCAGACGCGAGCCGTCGCTCTGCCTCGTTTCGACTGAGCATAGAGATATAATTACGTAAATTAAGGTGAGCAGGGGGGGATGTGGCGTGGAAACGCGCGTGTGACAAGTATCGCCGGTGACTTTTTGGAGACCTTCGCGAACGAGGTGACGCACGGTCGCTATTAAAAAAAAAGACGGCAACCAGTTGGAAAAACAACTCCGACGTTGCCGAGAAAACTAACCTTTTTCAGCAATAAGTCGAGCAGTTTGCGCTTGATGTAGCGGGGGTAAACGGAAGGTTTCTTTTTCGCTTTTAAATCCCTCATCGCTTTCGATGGATAAAAGTCCCGCGGCGTCAAATTTATTGCCCGAAGGGGTCTCTAACGTTGAACGAAATAAATCAATCGAAAGTCCCAAGCCAAAACTTAAATTAAGGGCCGAATTCATAGGTACTGATTGTGTCCACCGTAGGGGTTACATAAATCCCGATCAGCGATAAGGCAATATGTATCTTGAAAAAAAATTGGCAGATTTGGAATTTCGGAGTAAATTTACGTCTACAGTACAGAACTTCATGTGAGACAAAACTTTATTAAAAAATAATATTCAGTTCTAGCTCCTTCCGCCCGGCGATAATAAGCAGCATCTGACAACGCAGCACCGGACGACACGACATCCCCACCGTGGCGACTGTTTGCACTTTAGATGTAGTTTTGGATAAGGATAGTTTCGAGAATTGGCAATGCGGAAACGATGATTTGACAAAATCGAAGAAAAATTATGTATTTTTGTTTCAAAAAATATGGCAAAAGTTGTTGCATCCTGAAGCCTAAATTGGATCTAAAAGAACTAATGGCATAACCATCAGAAAAAAAATGTTTAAAGCACTATGTCCCTATATTGTTCAAAAGATTTTTTTTAAATATCTGACATCCTAGAAGCGCTAAACGTAAAAAAGCTTGCAAAGCATTCACCAAAACAACACTACACAACACAAACAATCAAAAGACCTTTTAAGATCTGTAAAGATAAAGGTAAACTGCGTTTTTTGGTTAAAAGTTATTAAAATACAGCTGAAATGAAAACTGATTGTGTAATTACAAGAAAAACCATCCCACAGAACAATTTTGGAAATCTTATTTTAAACGCACTATGTATTGTTCAAAGGAATTTCCATAACACCGACCTTGCTTAATACTGAAAATCACCATCAACCACGAGACCAACGGATACGAAAAAACACGGGTCCCTCACTATAACAAGTTTGTTTCCTACATGCTTATTACACTGCGTAAAAACAAAATATGACAAATAACTAGAATCTTTAAATACTCTAAGGAGTGCTAAAGAAGAATCCTTCTCAACATGTCACGTAATGCACGTAAATGACACCTCATGAAGTCACTATGAATAAGGCCGTCATATTCACGGTTAAGGATAAGAATCAAACATGGCAAATGACTTTCGAGAAAAACTCGAAACCAACGGATTTTTAAACGGCGCGTCGATAGTTGCACAAAAACGTCCGCCAGCCCCCACCCAATAAAAAAAATCAAAATTCGTGCGCGACTTTCTATTAAACGAACGAACGTTTCGGAGCGCAGCTTTTGACCACGTGTGCGGCTAAGCCCCAAGTTCGCGTGCTTCTAATAATACTATGCGGCCGACGACGACGTCTTGGTGGCGCGGAACCGGTCATATTCCCGAACTATCTCCGCTACGGTTCCCGAGTTTAGGTGTCTAAATTTAACCGGGACCGCAATAAGACTGCCGTTTGCCGTTTTTAAGGGATCGACCGAACCGAAATCGATGCCAAACACTGTCCCTTTCTGATATTTGCTTTATCAGTCCGAAGGTCGAGCGTCTTACTTCCTTTTCGAATAAAATAGCGTTTTTTTTAACTAAACAATCCCTAAATACAATTCCAAGTGTCCACGCCTTAACTGCAGAGACGCAAAGTGACCCTTAATTCCTTCTGATTGATTCAGACGTTCTTTCTTTCAGTTTTAGTTAGCTCTTTAGTGAACAACTTATCAAAAGTTCTGCCACTACTATCTAACATCAAAATTAAAAAATATAATAAGTTGGGCGAATTGTTTCTAATTTGGTTACATTCATTGTACCTATTCTTGAAAACGAAAAAAAAAATTGCATTGAATGGAAATGAAACAAGGACAAAGGATTTTAAGTTACCAAATTTGCACCAATGAACGTAGGTAGGTAATTTTATCCCACCCCTCCATATTATATTATTTTATGATCTTGATAGTCAACTATTACAATGGAGAATAATAGTACAACAACAAAATAATTAGTAATTATTATCAACTCTCAATAAAATGAATTTAAGCAGGTTAGCGCAGAATAAAAAAAAAGGATTTCGTATATATAACCATAAAACATTAGTGGTCACACCCACAAGTTGTTGAACAAGAGGCTTTGTTAGTCTAAACAGCTCAACATAAATTTTCCTCAAAATCAGCACTACGCAAATTAGTTAAGGTCCTATTATTGCGATTTTTGGCTACATATTAATCAAGTAGCAAAATCTCGCAAATAAGCACAAAACAACAAAAATAAGTATTGCCTTTTTTTTCTCCATTTTTACCATTCATGGTCTATAGAATAAATCTGAATATAAAATTCCCCTATTTCTTCAATAGAAAATTTAGAATACTCCATTTTAATATTTTTGGGAAACACGCCCACTTCTATTTGTGCACAACCCGTTTATTCAATAAAATTCAAGAATAGTCAGTGACTCACGTTATAAGATAGTAAGAAAAAACAGGGAGACGAGGCAAGAATTTAATGATTTTATTTAGTAAATATTTATATCAACTATCAATCCAAATAGAATTGCCTCCTTACTTTTAATATTCAGTTATAGTCGTTTTGGAGGTAATTTACCGAAATTCCAACAAACAACTTAATAGGCATAAAAAATGGCTCCGGAATATTCAAGATGTACAAATAATTCAAGGGAGGGCAAATATTATATTTGCGGAAACCATTGCTAATCTACTATTTACTATAAAGCAGCCCGGATGCACCGAGAAGTAGGCATGGAAACAACAACACGTGGCACTGATGACGAACATAAAACATTTTCAACAATTAATTGAAAATGAAAAAGAAAAGAACACGCAAAACCGTTCTGCGCATTACATCACCAAACGTGACTTTCCAAATTATTTTTTAATCAAAATATTAAGATTCAATTTGCACGTTGGCTGATAAGGATATTTAAAAAAATTATTACAGGCTCACAGGCATATTTTTTTATCACAAACATGAGAGCTCTTCTCCTAAATCGCAACCACTTGATTAAAAATATATAGGCAAAACAAATAATAAATATTAATTAATGATGATTTTAAAAGGAAATATAAGATTTAACAAAAACAGCAAATTCGTTTATGGCAGATGAAAACAAAGGATTGAAGGATATTGCCCGGCGCGCAGGTCAACACGCGGATTTTTTAGTCGTTAATTATACACGTTTTGAGGACAGACGGGAAATGCCGCAAAGAACGTGATTAGTGGCAATGGCAAGCCAAAGTAATACCACATTATTAAGCCACCCGTAAAACCAAACACGCACGCTCTTGTCACACCTCGCTGGGTGTTATCGACTCATCGCTATATACATAGTCGCCGGAACTGCAGCAGGAACCGCTACTACTGACTTCGTTCGTATTTCTGCGAACAGGTCGGATAGCTCCCCCATCGCAGGGCGCTACCTCTACGAAGCAACATGTTTGATCAACCAGAGAAAGGTCCCCACAATTACTAACCTGTCAGACAATCGCGTTTCTCTACACGCATATTCTTATAAACCTGGGGGGCGGTGGGAAGGACCGGCATTAAAGCCCGAACGAAAATCCTGGCGGCGGCTTTTCTTTGGGTCGCAGACCACAAAGCATGGCTGGCCGCCGGACCCGACGCAGTCATGACATCGAAAGGTGAAATGAATCACACATCGAGAGAATGAAAGCGGTTGCTGCAGCCTTCCGCATCGAGTGGTCGAACAACACTGCTAAGTCATTACGCCAGCGTAACGCGACTTTTGAAAAACGCGGTACGTCCAAAAATAGAAAACGAATATTACACGGGAAGCCTGCTAAAATACGGACTTGTTAAATTAAAAACAGCCACAGCAACATTCACCGTTCATCACGGTTGAAGTAAAAGCGTCGATGAAGTTATCCTCAAGAAGGAACTGACCGCATGACTACAACGATTAAGTTCAGAGAGCCACTCAAAGCCCGAGTCATGTTATCGTCTTTCTACTCAATGGTATCCAGATGTTACATTTTTCGGCAAGCTAAGGTACAGACGTTAATCAATGGCATACGGAGTCGGATTATAGCTAAACTACCTTATACCATTTATCACGATCACCTCAGTATTTAGTATGGAATATACTATTGAGAATGCAAAACCTCGATCATCTCATTCGAAGGTTGCAAGATCTCTATGGGGCGTACATTAGTTTTTTTAAGTAACTTTGTCTCACCATTTGTCCTAGTCCTAAGCCTACTTGATGCCCAAATGACATTTAAATACATATGGGTGCATGCATAAATACAAAAGGACGTAACTACTTAGTCAAGACTGCGTAGGTACTTAGAACATCTGAAAATTTGTGGAGAATTGAGTATTTTGGTTTACGCCCCTGGGGCCTAAATTTTCAGAGAGACTGAAAAATTCAACCTCTAAACTCTAAACTCTAATAGCCGCACATGCACAAGGAAAGTCATCAAACTTCGTAAGAACCATTTGAACATCTGCAGCTTTCGTTTTTCGTTTTCGTTTCTGAACTTAACAAAAAGCTAATAACCAACTCCTATATAACTTCATATGTACACCGTGTGCCAAATAAAACGACCCATTATACAATGTGAAAACCCATAGGAGATACGAACAAAAGCTTCGTACCAAAAGATTCTTGGACTCTCCTGAAGATTTAAAATATTATAATTTCGTTGATACAAGGTGTAACAAAAGTGACCCCCCGACATCATCTTTATTATTTTAAACGGAACACCCGGTATATTTCGTCATTTTTTAAATCCTTGGCTAAAATAAAGCACACTCTCTTAAGAAATTCCTATTCGAATTTTGCATAGTTTAGGAAGAAACTGAGGTTATATGTTTTTTTTCTTTCATATTTTGATTGCCCCGTATAATATTGTGCTGTGACGCTACTGATCCAGGTATTGCAACGAAGTAGATGATGCACTACTCAATCAGTTTGACAGAAGCGCCTCAGCTTATACAGGGTGTCCCAAATAGGTGGTGCAGTTTTGGCGAATTTAATTAACAAAATGTCAAGATTTTCACTTTTATTCAAAAATCAATTCCATGAAAAAAAAACAAGGTAAATTTGTAATTTATCTTATATTTAAATTTTACTTACCGTTATTAAATTAGTGTTTTTAGCAATAGGTTTTATTCGCATGTCTGGAGTATTATATTTTTAAAAGAAGTAGGATCGGGTCTTTGCTATTTAAAAAATACTTAATATTGTCAACAAGTGGCCTAAAGTAAGTAGCTTTAAATTCAACCAGAATTTATACGGGTGTTATCTTAAAGCGCGAATATCCCAAAAAGTAAGAAAAATTTAAATATAAGATAAATTACAAACTAATTAAATTACAAGCTGAATGAATAAAAATATAGACGGTGGTGGTTCATTTGAAAATCTTGATATTTTGTTAATTGAATTCACCAGAACGGCACCACCTATTTGGAACACCCTGTATAAGCAGAGGTGCATAGGTCACAACTGATTGAGTAGTGCATCATCTCCTTAGTCTATGGGTAAATTTTCGGTGCAATATCTGGATCAATCGCATCACCCGCACAATTTTAAATGGGACAATCAAAATATGAAAATTATTAATATTAATAATAATAATAATAAAATTTCTGCCTATACTATGTAAAATTCGAATAAATTTCTTAAAAAAGTGACCTTTATTTTAACCAAGTATTAAAAAAATGTCAATATATACAGGGTGTTACATTTAAAATAACAAAGTTGATGTCGGAGGAGACACTTTTGGGACACTCTGTATCAACAAAATTATAATATTTTAAATCTTCAAAGAATCGAAAAAACTTTTGTACGAAACTTTTTTTCGTATCGCCTATGGGTTTCCAGATCGTATAGTGGGTCGTTTTATTTGGCACACGGTGTACGATTCAGTGCTATGTTTTTAACTCCCTGTGAATTATTTTTTATCATGTGGGTTTTTCTAATATATAAAGTTGCATATAGTCAGCTTAAAAAACAATTCCAAAATTTAGCATTTTCCATAATTTATGTGGCTAAACATTAAAAAAAGTAAAGCAAATACAAAAAAACATGCAGCCCGGTCAATTTTTTATTAGTTGGAAAGTTTTTGTGGCCACACCGCGAGATTCCTGCGAACTATCAACTTGCGCAAAAATACTTCCAACCGTAGACTACAGTAACAGTAACAGTCCCGTTTCCGACATTTCTGCACCGCAGATTTCGATTCACCAATACTCGACAAACTTAAGTCCTAAATTGTCTTACCGATAGATCAAACCTCTATATGGGGCAGATATTTTTAAAAACATTCCCATACTGACCTGGTCGTCCGAATCGGAACGGCGTCCATGACGTCGATTGCGATTGCTTGACGACGGCCTGTCGTGTGCGCGGTGCTTGTTGTGCCGTTTCTTACTGGTGGGCGATCGCCTGTGACTTCTCTTGTAACGACGTTCCGCACTCGAACCGCGCTCATATTGCCGAGAACGATGAGCCCTCTGACTACTGAAATAGATAAACCCGTATGTGTTTGCCGTACTCGGAACTGATGCCCTTCACGATTATTATATCCCTAGAGATGTACAGCACTTGAAAAAGAAGCTGGCAAAAATCCATAACATCAAGTACTAAAGGGTATTAGGAGTTAATAATTCCTTTCCGAATGCTTCGTTGTTTAGCTGCGTGAGATTGAATGACATTGAAAGATTTTAAGGTCTGTCTGAAGAAATCGAAACATATTAATGAAACATCCTCGATTATAACCAGCGTGCAAGCGAGGTGTCTGAGATCGAACCGAAGAGGAATCTAGCAGGACTTAATGATTTTTAAGTCTTCCAAAACCATACACACCCACCTGAACTGTTTCGACATACAGAATTAGGTCCCAACCAAAATCAAGGACAGAAATATTGCCTTCTCAAACAGAGCAACAATTTGCGAAAATGCGATAATTGGTCATATAGCACACCTTCACAATAAAATACTGCAATAAAAAATATCGCTTTTATTAAAATTAATCACTGATCTGCAGAATAATCGAAAACATTTTACTAACGTTAGTATATGAAGTAACAGTTAATATTTCAGATAAACAAAAAAATTTTTTCTTGCTATGCTTATTAAAAACAGTAAACTTTGCATTGGTACAAAAAACGAAATCCTAACAGCAGCCTGGTTTTTCAGACATGTTATATTTTTTCCTTAAATCGTCCTTGACAACCCAAACAAGTTTGTTTTTCGTAGGTCCGTTTTCTTTACACTTAATAAATGACGCCGCTTCCTTTAATAACTTTAATAAGGTTATTTTAGAAACGTCAACGTTGGAACCATTATTGACCATATGAGTCAAATATTCTTCAATCAACACTTTTTTTTTACTGGTATTTCCATGAATAAATTCGAGGAAAGATGAGATCTGATCTGGTGCAAGCTCTCGAGCAATCTTTACTTTCTTCCTCTCAGGGGTGGCGACAAATATATCACTCCTTTTCTTAATTTCAATTTGTCCCTTAATGATGATGGCAAACGGCTGAAGGTATTTTTGTATAGCTGTTTCCACGTTAACGCCATCTCTATTATACCAGATACAACCAATTGATCTAGGTTTCAATTTATGCGTTTTTGAATGAATATCAGCCTCAAATTCGTCTTTCAAAAGTTTTAGCTTTTGTTTCATAGACTCCGGCGACAATCTAGCATTTTCTTCGTCATCAATTTCGTCGTCGCTTAAATGACCGTGTGGAACGAAAAAATCATTATCAACTTCATAATCGTCCTTGTCTTCCTCAATGTCTTTATCCGCTTCATCATCGGAAACATCTAGAGATTCACCTTGCTCCTCTTCTTCCCAATCATCGTCCGAATCTTCTTCATAATTAAAAAGCTCGCTGTCTTCTGCAAAGGGTCTTCTAGGTTTAACAAACTGACTGGTTTTTCGCCATGTACCGTAATACGGGGGTCTCTTATTTTCGTGAAAACATAAAAATTTCGCACGAAATTTCAGATTTGGAGGGGCATCTCCGCAAATAGTCTCACCAAGTTTCTTGTCTTCTTCGATAATAGTAACATCGTCGTCTTGATCTTCCTCGATAATAGTAACATCATCGTCTTGATCGCCAGTTGGCCAGGTTTTTGGAGTTTTTCTCGGTTTAAAATCAACACTCTTTAAATCATGCAAATACGATTCCTTCTCATTCTGAGTTTCAATCATATTATCCAGAAGCAAAACGTCTTCATTCGTCAGAGGCTTTCGCCGCAAAGGTGGCAGTCTCATATCGGATTTCACTTCGAATGGCATAAATTGACTATTAGCTTTTTCAATTTTTTTATCATCTTGTTGAGTATCCGTTTTTTTGAAGAAATTGACAAACAGCGCCGCAGTCTTTTGCTTTTTCTCTTCCTCCTTTTGTTTCTCTTTATTTTTTTCTTCAGCTTCTTGTTGTTTTTTCAACCGTTCCATTTCTTTCTCTTTGCGTTTTAAATCTTCCTTCTCCTTGCGCTTCTGTTCCTTCTCTTCTTTTTCCTTTCGCCTTTGCTCCTCTTTCATTTCTTTCTCTTTCTGTTTCTGTTGTTGTTTCTCTTCAAGCTGTTTAATTTTTTCCGCATCTTTTTGCTGTTTTTGTTTCTCCTTTTCTTCCCTGATGCGATTTTTCTCCGCCTCTTTTTTCTTTAGCCGTTCTTCTCTTTCTTCCTGTTTCAGTTGACGTTTCTTCTCGGACTCCAATTTTCGATGAAGTTGCTTTGGGGTCAATGATTGTCTTAAAGGAGTAGACGATTTCTCATTTCGAGATTCTTTCGAGTCCGCATCTTCCTTTTCTCTATCACTTGTTATTACCAAAATACTGTTTTCGATTTGCTTTGAATCATTATTTTTATCACATTCATCAATTTTAAGGCACCTAGATGTTGAGTTTTCTCGGTTGTTGTAGGCAGAGTGGACGCTATCTTTCATAACGGCATCGCTCTCGGCGTCTTTGGAAACTTTGACATCTTCAATTCTATTCATCTGATCATCTTCACAAACATCTTCGAAACTATTGTCCGAATGCCTTTGACTAGAAAAAATATTTTTGTCAGTACGGCTAAATCCACAGTTTGATTGGCAAGTGTCAGCTTCGTCCTGAGACCAAATAACCTGAAGCAGACAATTTTTATTGAGTTAACATATACTGTGAACAACTTTGGAGCTGCTCTAATGGATTGGGAAAAAACAAGCGTACGTAACCTCAACAATAATAATCGTTGACAAAATAAATTAGTATATTAAATGGCAATGTTAGAAGGGGAAGAGGTAATTTTTTGGATTACTGCTACCAAAACATCGAAAAAGTTCTGATTAGGACATATTGTATAGTCGGGAGAGGGAGGATTGGAACAAAATTTTAACTCTTTCAACTGTACATCAATATATTGAACAAAAAACTTAATTTATCAATTATTTCAGATGCAAACCAAATGGGGGGTGGGGGATAAACAAAAAAAAACCTATCATTTTTCATATTTTGAAGTTATTTAGAACCATTAAGTAAAAACAGATTTTACTCCCGAGTTTTTTTTACTTACAATTTAAATTAAGTAATACAAAAAGGTTAAAATTATTATTCACAAAAAATGTGTATAAGGTCCTGTAGATTAATGATCTAACATTATATAAAATAGCCTGAATTTTCACAATTTCCCTTGAACAGGCTCCAATTACTGAGAAGTTACCTACCTCGAAAAGGTATGGGTCTAAGGTGGAAGGTGACAACTTGCTTCATAGAAAGTAAAGGCACCGATCACAATGTTTTCAATCCACTTCTTTATATGAATGAATAAAAACATTGCAACAATTATAAATAAAACAAAACGTTCACTAGATAAATTATGCACATATTTAAACATGTTATATCTTAATTTTACTTTCGCTTACGGATATTGCACCCGTGCCGTTCGGGACTCCAGCTGGCATTTGAAAAACAAGCAGAAAAGGGTACATCAATCCCTAAACCGTTCCACTACAAAACATGGATTAAATAAGACGGACCTTTGACAATCAAATAACAACCTGTAGAAACAGAAAAACGACCCAAACCCTAAACAAAATTTGTCCTTGCGAAGACATCGCTAAACTAATATATTTTTGACGTTTGAGGTATGCTCGGAAGATCACATACTTAATTTGTATCTGATGAATTTGTTGCTGCACCACGTGCCGCTGCTGATACGTCATTATGTTGCATTTGGGAATCCACGTGGCCATCGCGACGTACAGCATCTGCGGCTGATCGCGGACGGTATCGAGCCTCATTCTACTGAAGTTTTGCAAAATCGAGTCCTGATGACTCCTGTTTATCTCGTAATCAGTCGCGTAAGACATACCGGAAGTCGCCATTTTTTTATTACGGACAATCACAACACTTAAAAAACTCCAGGGACACTGTCCATCACAGATACTTTATCACAGACCGTAGTAAGTTTGTGTTTAGGTTCAATTTAAAATGCACAGACACCACATAGTTTTTTTCTGCATAAATTGAATAATTCCAAAAAGTATCGATCCATTCGACGAGCTAAAATTATCTAGTAGTTAGAATGCTATAATCGTCGGAATTGTTTGGCAACAACTGAACTTGTCACAATACTTATTTTCTTTAACAGAGATTTTCAACAAAACCCTTCTTTTTGCCAATCTTTAAAATGCCCGGTTTAAATAAAGAGCTTTCTTAATCAAACAGTAATTAACAGTTATTTTATATTGACTAATAAAAAAACTCCCAATACTAGGGGTAAACGACGTGTTATGAATATAAAATGGATTATATACATTTCTTAAACTTTCAAGCAGTCTACGATATAGAATTGATCCAAGCAATGAAAAACCTAAAAATGCCAAAAGAGAAATGAATTGTAGAAATGACATTGGAAATGACAGAAAACAAAGTTAGCATGGAAAGGTTAAAAATATAGGGAATTTCAAATCAAACGAGGTCTTAAACAAGGCGATCCTCTTATCCATAGCAGGACTTTTTAGTTTAGTGTTGGAGAAAATAATAAGAAGCACTGAAATATTAACAACTAATGACACGGACAAGGATGGAATTACAGAGAGTAACAAAAAGGTTGAAAACTGTAGGTGTCAAGTATTTACTAACAATTAATGAAATTAAAACCAAGACACTAAAGTACATTATGTACTAAAATAATAACAACGAAAAATATAGTTGTGAATACCGAGTACTCAATCAAATCAAAATTTTGAACTACATGGATGGAGTCAGAACACAGAACACTTGGGGAAGGAAAGCATGCACAAAAAATGGTTTTTCCTCTTAATGTGCCTTACCAAAATATCGGGTATCTACTGAAAGGAATCTACAGTTTAACGGTGGTTCTGAACGGCAAAGGTTTATTAGGCAGAATGCTCTTGGAGTTTGCCATGGCCTTCCGAGAGGTGATCGCCCAACTTTTTTTTTTCGATGGATATGCTGGCGGTAGGGGCTTAAACCGTAAACCTCTCGTACTTTAACCCAACACCTACTACGCCGTTCACCCTAAAATAATACTCTACAGAAATCCGATCGAGAAAAACGAAAATGTAGATCAAGAAAGGGATGGAAAAAAACTTTAGAAGACTTAATTAAGACCATAAATGTTACTAACTAGAAAGGAAAAGCAATAAATAGAAGGGAGTGGAGACGAATAGTAAAAAGTTTTAGAAAGAAGAGAATAAAATAAAATTCGGCCCTAGGCCTACAAGGAATATTGAGCAAATAAATATATTAGAGAAAAATCGGTATCTTACTAAAATACTAGTACAAAGAATCCAAATCCAAATATGAGAACCCCAGTTGTCATCGTAGACACCTAGACAGACATGTCCTTCGTTTGAAGATTTTATCGTACTAGACGGAATCGAACCATTACACACAATCGCCCGATATCAACATCCTCCTTTTGAGAGAAAATTAATGACGACCTTGCCCTGAATGCGTTGCGTGAAGGTCGAAGATACACAAAAACACGACTTTTGCCATACTGTTAACGTAGGATCCTTTTATGGACATGCCGAGGGTCCCGGGGCTTCGTAATAATGTCTCTAACCTACCATCCAATCCGAGATGCAAGAATAAATAACTGCGAAGCGTAGGAACGAGAAAGAAAAATCCATATGCAACGCGAGATTTATGTAAACCGTCAAGGTTTATAAAATTTATTGCGATTCGTACGACCCACGAGGGTTGTTCGTAATTTGCGATATCGGCGTTTAAGCCTCATGTTAAAAAAGGAACGAAGAATAAGTGCGACTATTGTTCGCAGTTTGTTGACACTAGAAAAACTTTTAAACATTTTAATTATTACCCAAATTTTTGTTTTGATTGTTCGACTTCATTCAAAAAAAAAATTATTCAAGCGAGCAACTACTGCTGAAGTTGAATTACAAAAATGCAAGTATCCGAAATATTTGTTATCGAAGAAATGAGCTCTATGGAGTGCATATGGGTTCAGATGAGGTCTCACAATTAGCATAAAGTTTTATTTTTATCATATAATATTAAACTGCAAAATTTTATTATTTTTCGCCTCGATCGCCGAACAAAAATATGTGGCCAATCACCCACACGATAACAATGTTGTTGACGTGTCTATTTAAAAATACATACGTAAATGTTTCGCAAACGATTCATTCATTTTCGCTATGGAAGTGAAAGTGGGACTTTCAATATTAAAACAATTGCAAAAAAAACCTACGCAGAAATTATCTGACATGATCCATCATTTGCAGTTCGAAATATTAAAAACTATCGACAATAACCGAAAGCTGAGGCAGTGGCATGGTAGGCGAGAGCCATCTATTGATCGCTCACAGTTTTGAACAGTCGGCTAGATATTATAACAGTTAGCAATCACTAAGTTCAGCAAAGAGTACATAACGGTCAAATCAAATTAAATAACGCAGTGTAGACTAGGGCAAAAATTAAGCTTACCACCAAAAAATCATCATATTTACTAATGCCAGATATATACATTGCCCAAGTGCGGGTAAGTAAATATGAAACCAACCAGCAATGGAGCAGTTTCAATAAACGCCGCAAATTACAAAGTTTTGGTGTTAATAAAATTTCATTCAACTAAACTAAACGCTTCAGCTTGCTTGTATTTTATTGGCTGAACATTGATATGAATATACACAGGTGCTCCTTTGAGATATAACATCTTCATTCAGGTTACATTTTCGTAAAACATTTTAAAAATAAATAATGATATTTTTCAATTGGGCGGCTTCGGGATTAAGAATATTTCAAATGAATATGAAAAAAATCCACTTTTATAACTTTAATTCTTTTTTTTTTTCATTGCCGAAATCTGTAACGTAAATTCTTCTATCCTTCAAGTTCTTATTTTGTTCTTTTTGATCAAACAATCTGAAGCTTTCAAAGTTAGTAATGAATATTTAACGATAACTAAAGATTCGCAAAGAAAAGTCAAAAAAAAAAATTACCTAATTTAGTGATCCGTCAATCTTTATTTTGTTTAATTTTGTTTTATTTATTTATTGACTTCGACATTTTGATTCAGCAGCTCGTCTCCTAATCGAATCCCTGCTTTTTCAAAGATTTCATAACTTTCACGATATCTATTGTAGTACCATTGGATGCTTTTACCAATTTGATATAAAAATATAAAGTAATATAAAAAAAAATAATTTAACGCCTAGTTTGAAACGAAACACTTTATATACATTTTTTATTAATAAATAGTTTCCTATTAACAGTTTGTCCCCAAAAACGTATTTCAGCCTGGAAAACGAATCCTTATTATTTACCCACCATCACAGCACACCCTTATATTAAGGAAAAAGGATTTGAGCGCAACCCGTTCCATGTCAGCAGAGCAACCAATTTACTAGGTCTGTGCTTAAATTAAAAAAAAAAAAAAAGATTTGAATATTATTTATGAATAAAAAATATATGCAACATCCGAGCTTTTTTTTATATAAACTATATTCGTGGGCACTGCGATGTCACAAACCCTGTGTTAGTCAGTCCAACCGGATACGCGTTTAAGGCAAGTT